CCGATCGTTTCGCTAGTTAAGACCCTTCTTCCTCGGCTGGGATCGTTTAGAGCCCTTTGAAGCTGCATTTAAACTGCATTTTGGAAGTTCAAACTCGGGGGCACCATAGAAGTCCTGAATATGGAGAGAAATCCTGAAACGTTTTCCTCAAAAAACATAATTTCTTTACGACTGAAGAAAAAAAGACATGAACATCTTGAATGACAAGGGGGCGAGTACATTATCTGTACATTTTTGTTCTGGAAGTGAAGTACTCCTTTAAAATGAGTCATTTCCGTTTGGTTTTTAAAACTTTACTACTCAGATAGTTGTGAGTGATCTGTTTAATGATCTCTGATTGTGTTCTGCATCAGGTTTCTATGCACTTCTCCTCACGGCTGTGGCAGTAGGTGTTGCCATGTATCAGGAGGTGGATCTCAGCTACATCCATGCTCACTTCCTGCAGTTCTACACCTCGGCCCTGCTCATCGTCACTCTTCTCAGCATCTACCTTTTCATCCGCTCCCGCTGGGCGTCTGAAGATGAGCTCGCTCCTGGAGGCAACTCTGGTAAGATGTTTAGTGTAAAATCAGGCTGCATTGACTGTCTTCTCCAATTTTAGCTCTGGGTATTTTCACTTCAATGGCTTTTAAAGTTTCTAATCACCATTATATTATTTAGGTTTAAAAATCATCCAAACAGAGTTGTCATATAGTTCCTGCTACTTTTTCTCAGTTTGACCAATCACAGCTGTTTATCATTAGTAAATAAGCCTTCCATTAAGAGCAATTTATAGAGATTGCAAGGGAGAATTTCCGTTTATGTTAAGTATATTTAAAAGTTTGTTCTTGTTCTTTTATTCCTCTAGGCTACATTATCTATGACTTCTTCATGGGCAGAGAGTTAAATCCCCGCATCAAGAACTTCGATATCAAGTTCTTCTGTGAAATGCGCCCAGGCCTGATGGGTTGGGTGAGTATTTTTATTGTTTTACATCTTTCCAGTGATGGTTTAGTTTGGTTAGACTGATGTTGTAATCGCTCCCTCTTGTGGTCAAAATGTTGCCATTTGCAGGGTGAAATCAGTAACACTCAAATTTCACTTTTTCAATCGTGTTAGCTGTTTAATGTAGTGTGCTTTATTGTTTTCTTTTTCACCAATTGAAGAAACATTTATCATTGCTTGTTTCCACAGGTATTGATTAACTTTGCGATGTTGCGAGCTGAAATGAAGCACCAGAATCTAGAGAATCCCTCTCCAGCGATGCTCCTGGTCAACATCTTCCAGCTCCTGTGGGTCGTTGATGGCTTTTGGCATGAGGTACAACAAGTGTTTTCCAAATCAAACACAATTATTTCTTAATGCGGTGTGGAAACCATGAACTGATTGTAATCAAGTCACTCTGTATTTCAGGAGAAACTTCTGACCATGATGGATATAGTGTACGATGGCTTCGGATTTATGTTGACATTTGGAGATCTGGCTTTTGTTCCCTTCACATTCACCTGTCAAGCCTACTATCTAGTCAGCCATCCCAATGAACTCTCTGCATTCTGGATCATTACTCTCATCACTATGAATGGTCAGTTTCTGCTGTGTTTTTGATCAGTTTTTCTTTAGCTACACCAGAAAGATGCTAATATAGGTTTTATCAATATGCTCGGATTTTAAACGTAAGTTTTTAACTTCTCTAACAGGAGTTGGATACTATATTTTCCGGAAAGCCAATTCTCAGAAGTTTGCCTTCAGGAAGAACCCTTCTGACCCAGCAGTGTCTCGTAAGTGTTTTGAAACAAATTAACCAAAAGAACAAACATAGAATGTTAAAATAGTTTGGTTTAAATTTTTTATTTTTTTTTATCTTATCAGACCTGAAAACCATCCCTACTGCAACTGGAGAGAGTCTTATTGTGTCTGGTCTCTGGGGGTGGGTCCGTCATCCGAATTACTTGGGTGACATCATTATGGGGTTGGCCTGGTCTCTGCCGTGCGGTAAGCATTTGACTTCAGTTCACCTTTCTGATGAAGTAAAGCTGTCCTATCAGTCTGACTTGACTCGATCCTGCATTTCTTTCCTGTAGGATTCAACCATTTGATCCCGTACTTTTACCTGATTTACTTGATCACTCTGCTGGTGCACCGTAATGCACGGGACGAGCGCCAGTGCAGGAAAAAGTACGGCTCTGCGTGGTACGAGTACTGCAAAGCTGTCCCGTACCGCATTTTCCCAGGAATATACTGAGGACTCACAGACTCAATCAGTTACGGACACTCGGGGCAAATAAAACTTTCCTCAGGATGACATTGAATGAATTGTTAGCAGCTTGGTGTCTTTTTTTAAATCTTTGACTTTTTTGTAATTGATCATCAAATTAAAACCAAATTTTCTGCTTTGTCACAAAACGTTTACGGATTGTGGACACTGCCCCATTTTCGATCTCTTAAAGATGTATATTGTTGTACAGATGTTTTTTTGTTTTTTTTTTACTCAAAAGATTGTTTTGCATAATCCGTAACTTTAAATCTCATTTTATGTACACATATACACATTTAAAGTATCTGCTTGGCTATTTACCGTTGGCTTTTGTAATGACAGTTTGTGTAATGCTTTTGTATATTGTGTATGATGGGATTTTTTTTTTTATATGTATAGTAAGAACAGATGTAATGTTCTTTCTCAGGACCGGCAATTTGTGGGGAAAAAACAACAACAACAAAACTATATTTTCTTAATTTCTGTACATATTTAATAGAAAAATGTTAGGTTTGGTTTGTATTTTAGGCATTATGCACTGTTAAACAACTTTCTTTTATCCAAAGTTCACAAAATTTGGCTTTGCTACCTCAGATTTTTTCCAGTTGAAAACAATGTAAAAATTTGTTTTGTTTTTAGTCCGTTTTTGGAAACTGGATTTCAGGCACTGTGTGAAGTGTCTCAATATCTTTTGCAAAATCATAATTGTTTGCTGTGAACAATAACTTTGAACTTCAATCTTGTACAAGGTAGCGTCACTTCTTTACATTTTCATTAAGGTTTTAATTTAAAATGGCAATGCTAAACTGAATGTGTAATGTAAAGCTTTTCTTAACTTATCTTTTATGCAAGTATATCACATGTGGGCATAACATTTGTCCTAATGAAAGTTTGAAATAAGTGTTAATAGCTAAGATGAGCTTTTACTTTATCGCAGTGAAATGAAGCATTGTACAATGTTATTTATCTGGTTAAATTTTAGAGTGTTCACTTTTGATCAATTTTGTTATCTGGCGAGCAATCTCTGTACAAACACCATTTTTAAATATGCATTAATAATTAAACCACTCTAGACAAACCGTCTGCTACATGTGTCGCCACAAAATGAAATGTTCAGAATACATTCCTTTATAGGTTACGTTTTTGAAGATATTTAATAGTTCATTAATTTTGACTGTTGAGCCTAAATTCCTTACTGTACTCTTTTTTTAAATCCAATATACAATTTCCTTTTTTTCCCCTGTCAGTAATTCCACTTTTTCTGGTCAGGTGATTTCTAACTGATCAGTGTTTTCACAAAATATATTAAATGTTCCATTTCTCTTCCCTATTTGTTATGATTTAAAAATTCATATTCTGCCTGGATGTAATATATAACAGGTAAACAAAGTTAGTAACACATAGGAGTCTAAGAATGACATTTGACAATATCAAGTCACAAGTCTCCTAATAGGCTTGTACATCTGAGAAGCAAACCTTCATTCTTATGCCAAACTTTTATGGAGATGCTAACATAAACAACTCATTTATATATTGGCCCTGACATTTTCAGTACTTAATACTATTATTAACATGCTTTCAATTATCTCCCTTAAATTAATTCTTTATCTTACAATTGAATTTCTGTAGGGACTGAATTGGTTATGATGGTATGCTAATATGGGTTGTAATTGAAATAAGCTATGCATAACTGAAATATTTGCTAACAGAATGGTAAAAACTCAGTGACCCATCAGAGAGATGTGTAGTGTCATCTTGAGAAAGAATCAGTACATTCTCATCTATATTAGTAATTTGTTATGTTGAATCTGGGGATTTTTAATATACATGTGTGTGTGTGTGTGTTGACTAAATAGCTGTTAACATGAACAGTGTTTCAGAATAAGAATAAAA